GAGCAAGTATCTTTTGCATATAAATGGTTTAAATAGTGATGATAACTTTAGTTTAATTATTTAATCTAACAGATTTAGAGCAGCTACCTAGTTGTACATAATCACAGTGCCCTTTCAGGAGGAGTGCACAGCTTCTCAGAAGTGCAGCGCTGGTTTGTGAACCCTGTTCTCCTGGTCAGCCTGTAGATAGAAATCATTGGGGAGGACCGGAGTAGGCTCCCAACCCCAGAATGTTCAGCCTATCCACAATACCTTCTCTGAGCACTCTGCAGAGTACAGTCATTTGCATAACTCCTTCCCCAGAGGAATTCCTGTAGCAATCCATGGCTTAGTTTATCAATCATTTACACCTTAGCCTGTAGTGTATTGCTTTAATAAGGTGATCATATTACTTTCCCTGAGGGAGGAGGTCCTTTGGGGTTAAGGTGAGGAGCCATGTGAACTCAAGTCACTGAGACAGAGGCATGCCTCCATGGTGAGTCCAAGCAAGTACAGGCTAATCGTATGGGCACTGGATTGACCTTAGGATCCATCCAGCCCTTTCAGGTATGGGTGCAAACTGTGAAGGCTTGTTGCTGATAGTCTGCTACTTTGGTGAGAAGAAGAAGGAAAAATATCACAAAACTAAAATGACTTATGACCCTGGGCTGTGGCAAGCAAAGTCAATGGCAGTGGGAATGGGTGCAAGTAACAGAGAAGTGGTGTCAGGTGGTGCAGGGTCAGAGGTGGGGATGTCTTCAGTTTCTAGGTCAGGCCTGGGCTGCAGAGAGTTGGAAGACCCAGAGATGAAGGACAGAGCAGGGGGAAGAAAGAAATAGTGACAAAAATACCATTTGGGAGAGGTCTAATACCATCATCTGATGTATTGTAAAGGTACAAATGGAAATGAGAAAGAAGCCAAATGAAAGAGGAGACTGGGAATTCTTCCCATAGGAAGAAGACAAAGTCAAATCATAAGCATGAAAAAGTTCTTAACATGTGAAGATGATGGGCCCTTACCTACCTCTGCTTGTGTCTCATACGTGTATATTAGTAAGATTTGAACCAAAGATTTAACTATAGTTTAGACCGTGTTGGGACACAGCTGAGAAAGCTAGCCCGTAGAAACATTGCCATAAATCTAGGAAGCACCAGCGTGGTGAACAATGGTGGTTGATCAGGACTATACCTGAAGAAACATTGCACATTTCATTATTTAATATCTTAGAAGCAAAAATCATTGGTGGTTAGTGAGGAGAATTAAACTTGCATAGGCAAAATTTAAAATGAGTTGAAAATGGACTAGTGGGAAGGTATGTGTTTCTGCTTGTGTTATTGGAAAAATAATAGCTCAGCATTCAGGTTTACTACAGGTGCAAAAATCCAGGTACAAATCTTAAGTCACTGGATGTATAGTACTATATATATGTAAACATAGATGGCTTTTATGGAACATCGGTGCATATTTTAAGGTATACTTTGCTTGGGTTTTACTAGGATATAATTATTTAGCTTATGAAAAAATTATATTACACAATAGTTTCAAAGGAAGAGCGATCAAAGGTCTAGAAATGATGTGTATGGGCCAGAACAACATAGGAAAATATCAACATTTCTTGTATAACCATAGAAAAAGGATCAGCTCAAATGGGCCATTTTTTTTTTGCTAGAAATAATAGTACTGAAATAGAAACTTTAAGTATTAGAAGTAGTATTATTGAACCCAATTCATCTTTAAAACTTATTTCACTAACTCAGAATCAAATGCTGAGAATAAAGGGTTTAAAGTAAAAGAAAATATATCCAATTCACACTTCTGGAAAATGAAAATACTACAGACCAAGAGAACATTCTTATTGAGCTTTTTTTTTCAATGCTCTCAATTTAACCAGCTGGAATTATTTTTAAAGTACATCCAATTCAACCTTTTAAAATGACAGATTTGCCTTTTAATGGGGAATATGTATTTCATCATAAAGATAGAGCACAGTGTCCTTGGCTAAGTTATTCTCTACAGAAGGATGCTCTTTTTTTGTACTCTGTGCTTTAGCCTATAAGAAAGAACACAGATTATAGAAAATTAGCTCCTGGCATGGAAGATTAGAAGCATACAAGCAGACTGATAGAGAACAATTAAAAATGCAAACTGTTCCTTCCAGTTTCCCGAATTTGTATAGTGATGTCAATCGCTATGTAACGAGCAGTCCCTACAAACAGAACCAGCCAAGGAGATGAACGACTTTAGAAACTAGAGTTCCTTTTATAGTTAAAGAAGAAGACAGCCAGAACTTTAAATAACCAAATGGTACATTAGTCAAGGTAAATCACAAGCTCTCTCATTTGGAGCCTGTATGGAACCTTTTAAATCTGTATTCATTTTAACTTTCTGTGGGGGGTGGGCGAGTAAAATGCCAACTCCAGTTTCCAAGGAAAAACGAACAGTTAACTGATAACAATGGAGCTGAATTAAGCTATCTCGGTGTTTATGTTGGTAACCCTGACACATTTTCAATGAAGATTGACGTTACTGAGACATAGGCCTGACTGATGCTGTTTGACAGAACAGGATCCGGGAGAGCGGGGTAAACATTCCAGGGCTGTGTGGGAGGGAGAGGCTCAGGTCAACCAGACATGCTTATTCAAAAGAGGATGTTGGGTAGGGGTCATGAGCAAGTGCTCTGCAGCTAAAGCGTGGGGCCCCGAGGGGACCAAAGGAAGGACCCAAGGAGATGGGGGGGTGCAGCAGCTGGCCAACGGGGGCAGAAGCGGGGGTCTAAAATCATTCCCAGGGTAGGGGCTGGAAGTATGGAAAGGAGAGAGCTCCTGGAAGCACTCCCTAGGTGAGAAACAAGAACACAGCAATGCATCTCATCACAGGGCTCTTTACATCCGATAGATTTCAAAACTCTCAGAGTGCCTCTGAAGAACAAAACAAGGAATTAGGTTTGTCAATGTTAGGCATACTATCTTACTCATTTAAGTACTAAAAATTTTGTGAAAGTGCTCAGGGTCTTTTAGGAGATAGAAAAATAACTTTGCATTTTAAGGCATTTTGGTGGAACCGCCAGCCTGCAATGCTTTATCTACACAGTCTCCGAAGCTCTTTTATAATCATAGAAAACAAATTGTACCACTACTTGCAACATGTAAACAAAAACACTTGGTATGTGGGAAGCACATTCATTCATTCATTCTTTTACTAAATGAAGCAAGTGTCTATGCTATTCTCTGTGCCAGTAGGGTAGGTTAAAAGTGAAATCAGATCCAGAATGTGTTCCAGTTGAATTTGAAAGCATGGGAGGTTTATAGCTCTTTTTAACAGGAACTTGGGTACATGAGGGGGTAAAGAGGGAACGAGAATTCTAAAAAAGGGGATGGAAGTTCCTGGTGAATTTTGAATGCACAACTAGGATGTGTGAATTGCACGTTTTAAAATCTAAGGGTCCAATTCTTCTCCTCACTTGTGCCCCAACTCTGCCTGGGAGTGAGGCACAGTGGAGCTTGCTGCTGGGTTGCAGCGTGGGACACTGAAGGTGACTGTGAGAGAATGCCCAGGGACTAAACCGAACCCACAGCCAGGCAGGCAGACAGGAAGTGCAGGTGGCACATCCAGCCTGGGTGCCTAGGGGCTGGGCAACATGGAGAAAAATCAAGAGAGTTCGAGGAAGAGGGTGGGTGGAAAGCCTACATAACTCCCCTAAGTTTTGGAAGACAATGGCATCATTATAAAATGGTTCAGATAGAACCTTTTGTTGCATCTCCTCCACTCAGCTGCCATATAATATAAATTCACACCCCCAACTTCAAGGCAGCACATAGGTTTGTCTAAGCATGGTAAAAATGTAGGGCATTGCAGAGAAAGAGATTAAGTGTTAGCTTCATCCAACCCCTACTCCTTCCCAGTCCCCAAGGTGGCAGACATAGATTTCTCAAAGAACAGAGGGCAAAGAATGCCTCATGATTTCTGGAGCCCTGAGAGCTATCTTGAGGTCGTCAATAAATGACAAAGGCGGTTGGGAGACTCGAGCTCCTGTTTCTGGGGCCAGGAGTTTAAGCCAACAGACTTGGCTCTGAGCAGAGGTTGCTCTTCAAAGCTCACATTCCCCAGCTTTGCTGTGCCTTTCTCTTCCCTTATTCCTAGCTCCTTCCCTCCCTCGTCTGAGATGGGAGCATGGGAGCTGCACTGGAGGGACTTGCCTCCAGTTCTTGCTCCAGTGGAATATCTTTGGCAGGTGGCCCCTCGTCATGGGCACAGCCTCCCAACCCCTCTGGAAGGACATCTGCTGCTGAATTTCTCCAATGCCCGGGCATATGGCCTTAGGCCTCCCTCCCAAATATGGTGGAAGCACAGAAGACCTCCTGGGGTCATTAAAAGTTTTAGAGCAGGGGAATGAAAGAAAAAAAAAAAAAAAGAGAAACGTTTCAAGAAAATTAATTTTGTCCAAGGTGCAAAATGGATTCAAGGGGGGAGGTGGTTCGGGAGCGGTTGCTATCGAGGGTAAACACTAATGAAGCGTCGTATGCCGATAGCAATGGATCGAGGGGCTGGATAATGAAGGGGCAAAATCAACAGGACTCAGTAATTAGTTGGCTGTGGGGGACAAAAGAAAGAAAAGAGTCAAAGATTCTGATGAGGGTTTTTAGCCTCATTATGATGACAAAACATAAGGAATCCAGACATAGCTGGATGTAGTATGAGGGTGATAATGGGCTCCGTCTGAGACAGATTTCAAATTTTCAGATGGTGTTATTACTTATAATGCAGACTGAAAGGGTGTTATCTTTAGGCTCATATAAGAGATGGAGTGTTTTCAGAATGTTAACTACCATTATTTTAAGTGTGTGTGTGGTACAACAAGTTGAAAACTTGTGAAAACATTTATTCCAAACTAATTCATAATAGGTTCTGTGGGTTTTTGTTTTTTTTTTAGGGAGGAGTAATTCAAAATGAGTTTATCTTGAAAATACAGTTGCAGTAAATACGTGATTACATTTGAGCTTCCTTGCAGAATTTCATTAGACACTGCACGCACAAACCTGTCTCCCAATCACTATATGGTTTCAACTCAGGTTATCGCCATCGTCGTGTCACATGATCTGTTCTGCTCGAAGCCTCAGCACAATCAACACATTGTGGTCTTTCCGTTCACACAGTTACCTTCCTGGCCATTATTTTAATAAGAGACACATTGTATGGCTTTTGCAGATTCCTGACAACCTTTTCCTACGATGCTGATACAGGATTCAAATGTCAAATTCACTTTCATGAAAAATAATAATGAAATGCAAATATAAAGGATTTTTTTTTTAAAGCAAACTCTGTTCAATGAAAACTACAGCTTTACTCTTTCTATATGTAAAATATATATGTTTGCCTCTGGAGACTGCATTCGGAGACTTTTCTAAGAAAAATAACTTCACATAAGATATTCATGAACACTGAGTCTGCATTGTTCTCCGTTTCCCAGCAAGCTTTGTGACTTTTCAGTTTCAACAGCTGTGGATCAGCTGATTCATAGTCCCAGAAGATCTGCACTCTTCTTCATGCTGTTTAGCTTTTCTGAATTTAAAATAACCCCATCTACAGTAAAATACAGTTTGCGAATAATTCTCAAATGCTCATTAGATAACTTAATTCCCCCTCAAGCTTCAGACTCTGAAGGAATACGTTGACCAGGGCTTAAAACAAACCAAATGCAAACTCTCCCATCCTGTGTCTGCTCACACCCTCTTCCAAACCCCATGAATTTTATAGCTGCTCCTTCCTTTGTGAACATTGCTCTCCTAACTAAAAGAGTTCACCTAAGTTAAATGGTTCTTTACATTTAATTAACAAATATATTATTTATTTATCCACTAACCTGACTATTTACATTACCACTTCTAAAAATCTGGGTCTTTGCATGACTTAGCTTCTCTGTCTCTTTGGCTCCCCTCTCCCATGTGTGTCTGACATGCCTTTCTCTCGGCTCAGCTGGTTCCAGGGCCTTGGCGCCCTGCTCTCGATCCACCATGAATAGATTTCCTTAGGGCCCCCCAAGTGCAGAGGAGTGTTTCTACGACTGATTTACACCCAGCCTTTCTCCTCATGGGTGTTCCCCTGGGCCTCCCCAAATCACTGTGCTACATCTGGCAACCTAGCTCATTCTAAAGCTTCACTTTGCGTTCATTGTGCCCTTGACACATCGTTTTCCAGTAGACAACTCCATGAACAGTTTTATTTATTTGTGTATTTATTTATTTGCAAATTCTTCTTCTCACATTGGACTGCTGTCTTCCCCCTGTGTGAATTTTTTACCTGGGAGGCTTGGGGAGTTTCCGTGGAGTAGGTGGGGTGCTCCCAACGCACAGCAGGTTAGGAAGCTGCTTTTGTGTACTCGCACGACGTTAAAGTGCATTAGGCAGAATATTAAAAAGTTAAGCCAACTGACAATTAATAGTGAGAAGTCGAGCTTCACATTTGAAATGTGGACTGCCTCTTACCAACCACGGGGTACTTTATTCTTCATTGGGGCTGGCCAAAAGACATAAAAGCAGCTCATTAATTTAGACAATTCACTGAAAGAAGGAATCTGTAAAATGAAAAAAAAAATTGGTTAAACTAACGCAGGATCTAATAAAATGATTGCTTGAATTTTTTCATATTTCAAACATCCACATGAGTGTTAAAAACATTGCCTTGGAAAACAGAATACAATTTTACTATAAGCTAATGTGATGGGATAATTACCCTCCTTCCTCAGCACAGGTTTCCTGGGATCATAATGCCCACGACTGTTGAGGACCAGCCTTGTTCTATTGTAAGTTTTGTTTTCCTGTTTGGGGGGAATGATTGCTTTCCCCACTGAGCTTCAGGATTGCTCCAACTCTTAAAATGGTAAGTGCTACTGCCACCCCAATTCTCCCCACTTAGAAGCATCTCAAAGACTCTATTATGGCCCCAGGGGCTGCTTACTGATTCAAGAAAATGTGTCCCGGTTTCTTGTTTTGGGCTTTGATTTCTTGTTTCTTGCCCTTGGGGGTTGTTTCTTTTTTCATTGCCCCCCCTATTCCTAACACTATTATTTATTAAATTCTGCCAGTATTCTTCATGAAGGTGTCTATTCTTCATCCGTGTCATACACATGGATTCATCCACTCAACAAATATTTACCGAGAACCTTTCATGTTCTGTACTTGCTGAATGTCAGTTACTCGTCCTCAAAAATAAAGTGGTTTCTGCTCTTTTCTTCCTTCCTTAGAAGTCAATTCCAGAATCTTTGTCCCTGCCCAATAGCTCAATTTCAGGTTTTTTTGCTCAAGGAGTAAAAAAAAAAACAAAAAATAGCAAGAATTACTAAGTATTCATTTGGGGAACTTCTTTCTGGAAAGACAATGTGGCATACCTGCTTAAATGCTCTAGACTTTAAAATTCTCATTCTTGTTCTCTTTTTTTAATTCGTAAAACTCCTCTCTGCTATTATTATCTCTTAAGTCCCTGCATGTTTTCTAATGTTACGCACTCAACATAAGTGTGAGAGTCTGGGAAATTTGTTTGCTAAATCATCTGGCAAATGGTCTTGTTGAAGTCTGCTGAGCTGCTCAGAGCCTACAGTTGTTAAGTACTTATTACAGGAACCCAGCAGGGCAAATTAAGAAAGCTACATGTTTGCTTGTTATTTTAGGACCATTATGCCATGCTTCCGAGGGGGCTACATATTGGACCTTCTGACCTGAAAGGACTTGCTGTTCTTTAGTCAGAGGTTGCCGCGTGGAATCTGAATCTTTGACCTGGCAACAATAAAAATGATTATCTTCCAGGGGGAGAATGTCCTCTTGTTGCTTTTCACAGTTCAGCCTGCTGGAAAATGTAAAACACTTATTTAAGCAGCTCCAGGTTCACTTGGTATGTCATATTTTATAACTAATCTGGGAGCTTTTTTTATACTAACAAATTAAGTTATTAATATTTACTTCATTTTTTTTTTTTAACTTAAGTGCTTTATATGAATAGGACTCCAACGTTGACACTGTCAGCTCAGGGCGAGCCTTCCTTACAACCCTTACAAAAAGATATGTGGAGCAGGAGAGCTGTTATTAAAATTATAGCTGATGTTCCTCCTGCTTTTCTTGGAAGTACATTTTACAAATGGAAGCTCCCAGATAAGGAACATGTGCATCACTTAGGGTATATTAAAAAATAACTAGGATGTTCCCTTAGTCTAAGAACTATTTTTAAAGCCAGTTTGGGGTGTCTGAAAAATATCTCAATGTCTAAAAGCTTGGGAAAATTGAATCAAAGATATTTTGAGTATATTAACATGAGACCCCCCTCTCCCAAATGTCAGTTTTCTACAAAACTGGAATGTATTATTGTCACCATTTAAAAATTTCATCTTTTGTATTGTGTTCTGCCCAAAGTTTTGCCTCTGGCATCTCCTTTTGACGCATGGCTATGCTTAAAATACCTTCCCAACAGGTTAAGTGGTTGCTCTTCAGCTATTTTGAATGGTCATCTGGTGACTTCTAGAAGAGAATATCCTTGAAGTAGGGTGTTAGCGTGTTTCTCCGAAAGTTTTCGGTCAGTTTCATAAGCTTTAAAAATGTAAGTGTTGCAAAAAAGAGTTGGCCTTTCCCTTTCTACTATAGGTATTTTTTTTTAAATAATGCAAGCTGCTTAAGCCCAGAGTTAATATCCAACCTGCATTTTTCTAGCAATAGACTTTGTACTTTATAAATGCTTTATGATGTTAAATATTTGTGAGAAGTCAAGGAACTTGCCTTTTCAAAATAATAAAAAGCACTGGATAATCTTCCGGCACTCACACCATTAAGAGGTGATATGCCAAATTCGAATATACCTTAACACATCATTTTCTAGGAATGTGCTTGTGGTTCATTTTCTGTGAATCTGCCTGTGTTTCTTTGGTCTCTGGAGCAACAGTTACTTTTCATCAAGGCTCCAGGGCAGGAATCAGCAAACTGTTTCTGCAAAGGGCCAGATAGTCAGTATTTCATACCACAAGTACAAATCAAGCGTAGTCTAAGTACTCAAATAATAAAAGGGAAAAAACCAAGTTTCACAAATATTTTATCGATGAAATTCAAAATATAGTAAGTATAGAGTACACCTTTTTCTGGTAATATGGGTCTACTATTGAGAAGAATGGATCCTTTGGGGGCGAGTTAACAAATTGTTTAATTGGAGTTCAAAGTTAGTGTTTCCTGTCATCAAAAAGCATTCTTAGCACAAGGGCCATACAAGAATAGACGGCTGTCTGGACTTGGCCCATAGGACCACAGCGTGTCCTTCCGGAAGGCAGCTTTGCTCAAAGTGTGGTCTTGGGAGCGACTGATAACATGTTACTGGGGTGGCTTATTAGAAATGCAAATCCACGGGCCTTGACACAGTTTTTCAAACTTATCTGATTTGGCCTCTCCCTGCTTCTCTTGCAACCTTGGTTTAGCGGTCAAAGTATATTTCCTATCTTTAGGAAATCCAGCTCTCACTTGCCGTGGACTCTTTCCCTTCAGCCTTCACATGGGCTCAGCTTCCCCCTTTTTAAAAAATTAACATTATTTTGATCCTACTGAACTCCCATCCCATCACCTTCACTCGAAGATAATGCTTCCCATGCATCCCGCGTGTGCTTGGTACCACCGCTAATATGCCCTTTGCATCTCGTCCTCACCAGTGTATCAGAACCACACTCAAAACTTGCCAAGACTAGCTGAGTGCTGTGGCTCACGACTGTAATCCTAGCACTTTGGGAGACTGAGGTGGGAGGATCGCTTGAGCATAGGAGTTGGAGGTTGCATGAGCTATGATGACACCACTGCACTCCAGCCTGGGCAACAGAGTCAAACCTTGTTTCAAAAAAAAAAATTGCTAAGACTACTGCTTTCAAATCCTAGTCTTTGTTATGCTAAACTTCTGCTTATCATTTGATACCTCCTGAGCCCTCAACTACCTCTCCTTTGCTAACAACCTCTCCTGGTATAGCTGGGGACAGCCCTTGAAAGAGCCATGTCAAGTGGTTCTGTGGGTGACTTTTCCAGGCACTGTTAGTCACTTTGTAAATGCATCTGTTCTGATTTGATGGCGGTATCGGCTGGGCTTGGGAGTATACGGGACAAATAGGACCTTGTACAGGGCAGGGGTCCAGGGCTCTGAGGGGGAGGTGGAATCTGAGGAAGCCTGGATAGAACATGACAGCCCCGGGGTACACTGGTGGGCATTACATTCTCAAAAGAGTGTGAGATCCAAGACCAGATCTCTCTTTCTCAGTTGCTGGGAGCTGGGTGAGTGAAGTCACCTGGGGGGTGGGTACGATGGAATTTACTAGTTCATGCCACTTCTGTACACCAGGCGGCCCCAGAAGCACATGCAGTGTGAGGTGTCCCCCCAGCTGTCCTGCTGCTACTGCGTCTCTGCCATGCATCCTTATCTCCTTCAGGTTTCTCTTTTCCTGCCCTCCTGCCAAGCTGTGCGTGCCGGCGACTGTGTGTGCTGCATCTCCCGCTGCCCTCACGCCCCCGTCGGGTTCCCTGTTCCATCCAGTCTTCAGCTCTGGCCTCACCTCTCCGTGCAGGTCTCATGTTCAATGGTCTGAAATGCTGAAGAATTAACTTCACTTAAATTCTGAGCAGTTATCTTTAATTCAATATATCAAAGCCGAAAACAAATGTGGCTTCAAAATATTTTTCTTTTCCCACCTAACCCCTTTTCCTTGGTGGCTTTCCTGTTATTCTCATCTCACAGCCCAGAAGTTGTCACCTAGGACTCCTCTCACTTCATGTCCGGTATCCCAACCCTTCAAATATTTTATTTGACTATTTAAATTATTTTATATTTATTATATTTGGTAATATTATAATTGTTTATTTTATATGATGTTTCCTGGGGCTCATTGCATTTCTAAGGTGTCATGAATTTGTGCCTAATTATTTATTTATTTTTTTTGAGACAGAGTCTCACTCTGTCACCCCAGGCAGAGTGCAGTGGCATCAGCCTAGCTCACAGCAACCTCAAACTCCTGGGCTCAAGCGATCCTTCTGCCTCAGCCTCCTGAGTAGCTGGGACTACAGGTGCACACTACCAGGCCCAGCTAATTTTTCTATGTTTAGTAGAGACTCGGTCTCACTCTTACTCAGGCTGGTCTCAACTCCTGAGCTCAAGTGATGCTTCTGCTTCAACCTCCCAGAGTGTTAGGATTACAGGTGTGAGCCACTGCGCTGTCTGTGCCTAATTTTTAAAAGTGATCCTGCTGCCTCCATTTTCTCCCTCTCCAGTTTTGCATTATTGTCATATTCATCTTCTCTAGACTCTGTGTTTGTCAAGCTCTAATGCCTGCCAAGGCTCCTTAGTCCCTGATTGGGAATGGGGGCTTGACCTAAACTCTGTTGACCCCTACACTGCACTTGATTGTGCCAAGCAGGTCTTCCCACTCTTTCCCCCTGGCTGCTCCATTCTTAAACCTCAGGCTCTTCCTGCATCTGATTTTATTCATGCTCTTCCCTCAATCCAGATACCCTCCCTGCACAGATTGGGGTTTCTAGCAAAGAGGATGACTTTCCCAGGGAGAGGAGGACCATGTTGTTTGCGACCTCCCATAAGTGGGGTCATGTGCTTTGACTCAGACGGGACTAACCATGGGCAACATGGGCCCTGCCATTCTCACTGTCCCTCATTATTTCTTCTGAATTTTAAACCCATGCCCGGAGATGTCACCAAGACAGGGAACAAAGCACAAAAGCACAGTAGCATTACTCCCCCCCCCTTTTTTTTTTGTGGAGACTGGGTCTAGCTATGTTTCTTGGGCTGGTCTTGAACTCCTGGCCTCAAGGGATCCTCCTGCCTCGGCCTCCCAAAGTGCTGGGATTACAGGTGTGAGCCAC